TTAAAATATAGCTCTATCTGCAACTGTATTTGATAATGTTTTGAACTTTTAAAATGGTAGAACCAGAGGCTGCACTTCATATTAGTGTCAAACTTTGGCTTTTTTTTTATGGGTTACCTTCATTTTTGCTTCTACATTAAATTTAGAATAGGTTTAAATTGCCGTCATGTTTTTAAGGTTCTTCTTCTACATATTAAAAAAGTTGTTAAACATCTGAGTGGTGCACTACTGCTACTAGTGGTGAGAAAGTGTATTGCCCCTTATTCAAAATCAATGTGGTCCCACGGCCCTCTGCGGCTCAAAGTTAAAAACTGTTGTTCTTTTGAGGCCCTCAAGGTGCCACTCACGGCCCACAATTGGGCCGCGGCCCATAGGTTAAGAATCTCTGGTTTAAACAATCAGTGCTACAACTTTTCTGTTAAAATCAACCTGAGTTGTGTCCTGGATGTTTCCAACACATTTCACCTCAAACATGTGTCCTCTGACAGAAACCAGAATCTCCAAGTGTGCTGAAAGTAAACCTGCTGACCACCAGGTGTTTCTCAGAGCCGAACGTTTCCCTTGGAGTCGGCAAGCGGTAGGGGGAAAAAAAAAACAACAGAAATGATGGTGGGGGTGGGGTGGGCATAGAAAAACTGCTGGCAATCCAAACTGAAGAAAAAAAATCACACCTCCTTCCTTTGGAGTCTTTAATGACTTCTCCCTCCTCCGCTTTCCCATCAAAATATTATATCAATATGTGCTGGCGAAAAATTAAACAAGTAAAACAATGAGACGGCCCCAGGGGGATGGGGGGGGGGGTCCTTCCCCCTCTAAATTAGTCTGTGCATTTTAGAAGAAGGTCACTTCCTCCTCCTCTAACCAGCCCACACCCCACCTCCTGCTTCCATCGGATCAGTAACACGTTCCTGGGTGTGATCGCCCTGACCTGAGTTTGAATTTAGAGTGTTCATTAATAGGATATTATGCCATATGCTCACAGCACTGTCATATTGTAATGTCTGGCACTGGGTTAAGAATTTGTAATTAGGGCTGCTATAAAAAAAAAAGGACTGGAGGGGGCTCGTGCTAACTTTTGTTCAAGAAAGAGATTTGCACTTCAGATGGTAAGCTGGGTAAATCGGTCATCTGCTGACCTGCTGCTTCACCCAGAGCAGTCTGGGAAAAGACCAGGACAAGCATGGAGAGGAGGGAATCCATCCTGACTTTAAATCCACACAGTAAAGCATATTTGGTGCTTCTTGTAAGCTTTGGATTTAATATTCACTCGGCTTAGCCTCGGAGCTTTCTCTGAAAATAAAACCTCAGAAATGGATAAAACAACCATTTTTTAAAAGTTTTCCTTTTTTAAAACTGTGATGCAACAACTGTAAACATTTCCATGCATGTGACTAAAAATGATCTGTTTAACACTAAGAATGTATTTTTTTCAGCTTCAGAAATGCTGAAGGGGCTGTTCCAGCTGCCTGCAGTTCATCCAGACGTTTTCATGCTGTGCAGAAAATCTGCAAGCTTTATGTTGAAACTTCAGGTTCAAACTTTTTCCTTTTTTTTACTAACCTAAATTCAGCAAAGTATTTTATTTAACTCTCTTTAAATTWAAAAAAGTTCTGATAAGGACAACTTGTTTTAAACTCTGCATGATTTTTGGGGTGACCATGTTAACAGCATCTACTGAATAACTGAATCTGCTGAGTCACTGTTTGTTGGATTACCACCTTCTCTGAGGAGGATAAGCAGCACGCAGCTGGATCATCATCAGATATTAACACAAACTATAAAATGAAGCTCTAATAAAACAAAAAACATTAACTTCAAAAAGTCTTGAACAGTAAAAGAGATTTTCTGGTGGCTTTTTCTATAATTTGTGTGTGYTTCTTTATGCAATAGTAGCAGTTATAGCCTGGCTTTGAGAAAATTCATATCTGAAATATAATGAAAGTCACTGAGAATTTGAGGGGCGGCACGGTGGCTCAGTTGGTAGAGCTGATGCCTCTCAGCAAGAAGGTCACTGGTTCAAATCCCGGTCCGGGGACCTTTCTGGGTAGAGTTTGCATGTTCTCTCCATGCATGTGTGGGTTTTCTCCGGGTACTCCAGCTTCCTCCCACAGACCAAAAACATGACTGTTAGGTTGATAACTCTAAATTGTCCCTAGGTGTGAGTGAGAGAGTGAATGGTTGTTTGTCTCGTTTGTCTCTATGTGAGGCCCTGTGATGGACTTGCAACCTGTCCAGGGTGTACCTCTGCCCCTCGCACTGTGAGTGCTGGATATGGGCACCAGTGACCCATGCAACCCTGAAAAGGAAGGAGCGTATTCAGAAAATGGATGGATGAGAATTTGGGTTGTATTTAATATAAAAAAAAACTTGAGACAAAATATGATGACAAAATACCCACATTTTTATGCAATATTTAATGTTTTGGGGAAAAATATAATCACRTTCTATAATACAATATAAAGGTCATGGCAGTATTTAAACTGTGAAACAATCAGAACCAATAAAAATATCAAAACGCTTCTTTAGTCACATAAAACCSAACTTTCTGTGACCTGTTAAAACTTTGAGCGATGGTTCTATTCTGAGGTCCRTCTAATTTGCAGAGCTTCAAACACCACTGGGTTTGTTCATCAAAACCTTTTTGTTGGTTTTGTGCAGTGGTGGGCAGCGCTAATCCAAAAATTAGCTCCGCAATTTCTAAAGTGCTTATGCCATAAAAAAAACTTGCGGAAGCTAATTTTAAAGTGCAAGTACAATTTGACACTTACTAGCTGGCAACAATTCATGTACAATATATGCACAACACTGCCAAGTAGCGGTGTAGGAACTCTTTTGCAGCTTAATCCTACAACTGCCGATTGCTGGGGATGTGATTTCCTGAAACCTTTAGCTCCCGGTGTAAAAATTAAAAAGTTGTTGAGGATTGCTAGTTCGGCTGCTTCTTTGTCTTTTTCTTTTGTTTGTTGTAGATTTTTCATTAAA